GTGGTGTGAAGTAGAGAACCAATAGCAGCTTGAACTCAACAAACTGCAAAGTTAACCTTCGTGCCTGTGTGGACAGGATGCATCGCCCAGCGTCCTTACTTGTGTCATCAGCTTTTAGGACTGTAGGCCCCAAGATCTTACAGTGTCCCCTCCTTCTCTCAGGCCCCCGTTTCTAGTCACGTTGTTGGACATTTCTGTCTTGTCCTAGCCGGTCCCGCACCTAATATCTGGCCCATTTTAGTGGATCCTGGCTGACTTCTGTGCCTTCCCTCCAGGGAGGAAATGTGCCCAAATTGGGGCACTTGCGTGGCTCAGACGGTTATTTCAGCTCCGGTCATGATCTTACGGTTCATGGGTTCGAGCCCCTGAGTCTGGCTCTGCACTGACAGCACGGATTTTCTCTCTCTCTCTCTCTCTCTCTCTCTCTCTGCCCCTCCCCTGCTCTCGCTTTCTGTCTCTCAAATAAATAAAAAAAGAACTTAAAAAAAAAAGAAGGAACATGCCAAAATTGGAACCCCCCTACACAGTAAGGTCCAACCCACATTGATTTTTCTCTCATCGGGCCCTTTTTTTGTATATACTGCAGTTCTTGTCTACTTATTTCTGTCCTGTGCATCTTGTTTTGCAATTTATTAAGGTAGGAACCCTGACTTACCGTGACTGCTTCTTAATAATCCCTGAGAACCTGGCATGGTGTTATCTACTTAGGAAATAGATAAAATTTCAAACAAAAGAATGAAATCTCTTAATGAAGGAGGAACCAAGACAACGGACTAAAGAACAGATTAAGAAGTTTTAGGAACTGGTGATCCTATATGTTTTCAAAGGAAAAAACCTTTCTGGCATCATTTTTAAGAGGCGTTTTACTTTGAAACTTAAAAACTCATATGGATTAGAATGGTGTATTGCCCCCATGAACCCATCACCCAGCTTCAGTGATCTTAATTTTTTTTTTATGTTTATTTTTGAGAGACAGAGTGTAAATGAGGAGGGGCAGACAGAGAGGGAGACACAGAATCGGAAGCCGGCTCCAGGCTCTGAGCTGTCAGCACAGGGCCCGATGCTGGGCTCGAATCCACGAACTGAGATCATGACCTGAGCCGAGGTAGGAAGCTTAGCTGACTGAGCCACCCAGGCGCCCCTCAATGATTTTAAAACGTTTACCACATTTCCTTCATTTTTTCCCTTTTTTAAGCTTTTGCTGATGCATTTCTCCAGTTTTTATGTTTAAAAAATTCAAACCTATAAAGTTGAAAGAACGATGCCTTAAATGGCTATATACCTTTCACTCTGTGAATTCTCTGCGCACACGAACAACTTTTATGAGTAACCATTTTATGAGTCATTGCAGACCTCCTGACACCTTGAGATACCTCAGCAGGTGTCTCCCAAGGGCGAGGGTGTTCCCACGGAACCGCGGACTGCTAGCATGCTTAGACCAATGTCAGTTCCATCCTGTCTACTGCAGAATCTGTCTTTGGTTTTCTGTGCTATTTCTCAACCTATTTTTTGTAACTTTTAAAATCGGTGATCCTGTCGAGGCTCACTCCTTGCATTAGTTAGGTCTCTTCGATTCAGTATTTTGGAATAGTCTCACTTTTCTTGCTTTTTTTTTTTTTTCTTCCTCCATTGGCTTGTATTCTCCAAAAAAGCCAGTTACTTAGAATCTGATCTGCAAGCGTCTTTTAAAGATTATCCATTGCAGGGGCCCCTGGGTGGCTCAGTCGATTAAGCAGCCAACTCTGTGATTCTCACAGTTAGTGAGACCGAGCCCCACGTCAGGCTGTGCGCTGACAGCACAGAGCCTGCTTGGGATTCTCTCTCTGCCTCTTTCTCTCTCTCTCTCTCTCTCTCTCTCTCTCTCTCTCTCTCTCAAAATAAATAAATACACTTAAAAAAAAATCTTTAGGGGCACCTGGGTGAGTGTCCGACTCTTAATTTCAGCTCAGAAATTCCGCACGGTTTGTGAGTTTGAGCCCCATATCAGGCTCCATGCTGACAGCTCAGAGTCTGCATGGGATTCTCTCTCTCTGCCCCTCCCCTGCTCGTGTGCATG